GGGGGGGGGGGTGTGTTTTTTCTCTTGGGTAAAGGAGTCTGGGAATGGCAGAGAAGTGGAGATGGATCCTGATTGTGTTAGGAATGGTGAGATAGAGAGGATGAGGAATTGATGTTTCGAGCAAATGCCACTATTTGGAAAGGTGTCTGGGTCAGTGGCTTCATCTGGGATTCATGGTGGGTTGGCTTGGGTTATTTCAGGCAGAGGTTGAATGTAGTGAAGTATATTAACTCAGAAACCGAACTTAAGTACATTTTGAAGTACTCTGGTACTTTATGAGATAGGTATATTTTCATTGTATACTTGAACTACACTGCATTTTTGAAGCCAATATATTTGTATCACTTATCTGACAGAATTAGTTACTTTACAAATACAGATTATTAGCAAAAGCAACATATACACCACTTGTAAATATATATATTCAAATGAAAACAGGTTAAAATATCCAGCAGTATATAAAGTCATTCAAATGAGGTGTGATGAAAACATTAATGCATCAAAAATCATAATGCAATAATTGTGTATAATTATGTGAAATATGATGGGCCATTTTGTATTACAAGTACTCTTTTGGTTCGTTAGGTATATTTTAATTTAAGTAGGATTTTGTATGCAGGACTTTTACTTTTAACAGAGTATTTAAAAAATGTGGTCAATGTACAACTTTAGTAAAAGACTTCTTTCATCACTGATTTAAGGCAATTCGAGCATCCATCACAACACACTCTTATTTTTTCTTCAGCTAAACCAAATTGTCCGTGTATGTCCATTTCTGACTTACCAAAACATTTGCTCTGATTGGTCGCTCGGTCCACAAACACTTTGGCGGAGATGACGTTGCCAAAAGGCAGGAACATTTGCATGAGCTCCGCATCTCCGAACTCCTGGGGCAGGTGATAAATAAACAGGTTGCAACCTTCTGGCCCTGGTGATGAAAGGAAAACAACAGGAGGGTGTTATGAGGGCATACACAGAAGGAGAGCCTGACCATAATAATATTAATAACACAGGTGGAAGAATGACTCGATAAAGCAATCAAGAGAATAATCTAAGGAACGCAGGAGCCATGTAAACACCAAATTGTTATTATGCTCGCTGTGGCACAAGCATTAGTTGTGGGAAAGCTAGTTATTGTGGAGTACACACTCTTAAGTCCTGTTTCTAAAGTGTTATAAGGTCACTCTCAGCGTTGGTCAGCTCATTTAAATCTGATTACCCCGATCCAAACTACTGTATGTGCTGTAGGAGGCCCTTTAAAGGATAATTGTATACAATTAAATGTGCCTATTGAATCAGAAAATGTGCCGGCAATTGCAGTGCACAGTGGCAGAGATATAAGTAAAAGCGAAATACAAAACAGGATTAAAAAAACACAGAGTTCGATTGGAGGAGAAATATTAAGATGGTTATATTGAGAAATAGAAACAGTGAGTCACAGAGGAAGAAAGGAGGAGGAGGAGGCAGATCATAAGCCAAGTTTGTGTCCCAATTACTCCGTGACAGTAGGACTGTCTTCCAATCTCTCGCTCTCCATCCCTCCACACTCCTCCACCCAGCTGCCACATATTGTACAGGCCAATCGGGATAAAGGGAGGAATGAACTGGAAGGAAAGAGAGCGAACCATGGCCCGAGAAAAAGCGATAGAGAGAGGGAGAGAGATGGGATGGACTCGGGGACAGTGTGCTCGCAGCTGGCTGCCTGGCTAGCATTCTCTCCTGTCTCATTGCTCTGGGTGATAGCATGACGAGATGAGACTGGGGCTGGTGAGAAGGCTGATAAGAGAGCTGCACTGGTGGCTGGCTGTACTGATGCTCTGCCGCTGCGAGATAGAGGACACACACACACACACACACACACACACACACACGCACACGCACACGCACACACACACACACACCCACACACACACGCACACACACATACACACACCGGTTGACAGAGTGTGGATTTGTATTTTTTCAAACATTTAAAATCTGAATCTCGGTTCTGTCTGTTTAGATTTAGGTGACTTAGAGAAGTCACACTTTAAAAAAGAAGTGGTTTGTTTGAGGTGAAGACACTTCCCAAATAGAGTGTGAGGACGGTTGAGAAGTTTACTTTTCACAAGTATAAAATATCTTGGTGAGTGCGTGGAAACTTTCTTCCTTTTCCATGTATGCAAATCTGCTATGTAGAGGAAATATGACTTTTATTGTATCCATTATGATGCCGGGAAAGTGCGAGGATGCAAAGTAGATAATTACCTTGCATATATATATATATGAACTGCATTTGTTATTGTATATGACTTCAATGCACTGTTTAGGATGATAAATAAATTGGTTGATTCACATGTGCATAATTTATCAATATTTAATTTGAGAGGCCAAATCCAATAATTGTACACATCAAAGTCTGTTTACAGGTCCTGATCAGAAACAAAGTTGTATAAAGCCTTTTGTGGCTCCAGAGGGAGTTGCACAAAGTCTGATACACTGCCTCAAGTGATGTCACTTGAAATAGCTTCAGTTGAGAGTTAAGATACAGCTTTTCAAATATATGTAGTAAGAAAAATGTGACTTTACAAGACCTCTGTAGTCTGCTCCTAATCCCGGCTTGAGGCCATGAGGCTCCATTACACGCAATAACGCACAACACGACCATATATGGGGCGAAGCCTGCGAGCTAGTTCAGGCAGTCAACTCGAGCACTTATGATGCAATCATACCTAACGCCCCTTGCCACTCTACAACCAACCAAACAGAGTCTCCTTGATATGCCGCTCTATTTAACCTGCCAGATCTCTCTCCATGCAATGCTTGCTGCAGCTACTTCCACGTCGCTGCTGCTTGCCTGCCCCACCACCACCCCAGCTTCCACCTGTAGGCTCGGGGGGTTAGTTATTTAATCATCACTCATCGTGCTATGCATATCTATGGAGTGATGAGGCCCGAGCCAAACTATACGCTGCTTCTAATAAACATGTTAAAGAAACACGTGAGTTGTCTGACTGAAATTGGACTGAACTGTAAGTTGCATTGTGGGTAATGTGGGCTGCATGTATCTATCTCTCTGTGCATCGATTCTTTTCTCTAAAATGATTCTGGTTATGTAATTACTGTCAACCGTAATGCGATATGACCGTGCTCGTAAAATGGGTCTCATTATCAATAGTTTCTACTAGTTTTCACTTTACTATGGCAACTCCCACCTGGAGGGAGACACACAGCTTCTTTCCACTTCCTGCCAAAGACAACTCAGCTTTTACCACACTGTTGGCCAAAATGCCAGATAGTTGTTGTACAATTGGATAAACAAACCGAAGAGGAGACATGTCCGGGCTGTGTTTCTACAGAATCCCCTCTCGGAAAGAAACCAGAGAAAGGAGGACATTGTGGATTTGTGCAATTAGATGTGCTGCTGTCCCCGAGGAGCACACTTCTCCTAAACCTGCGGTACAAATGCAGGGGGCCAAATCCCATCAATCCCTCCTTCTCCACAGCATCCCAGGCTGAGGGTCATTAAAACGGTGTGGTTAACCTGACAGTGGGAAAAAAAAGTTTATATTGAATCTATATCACAAGATGCTGTGTTGTCTCCACTATACTGCATTTTCACTACTGCCTTTGAAAGGATACCTGCTGAAAGCACTCAAAGACTATTTAATGATGATGCATTTCTTGTCCTTCACCTCCCAAATGACCTCATTTTTGACCCATTAGATGAAAAGTACAGATAACTGTCTGTACTTTTGTACGCTTTAATCTTGGCAGCAGTGTAAGGCGATAGATTCTCCACAAGATATCTGTAAACATCGGCAAAGTACAGCTTCTGCAGAAGTACTTGTCTGTTTTTAATGATTGAAATACCGCAGTGGAGGCTGTATGTGGGTCATACGTGCCTTAGACTTGCTTTTCCTCTTTTCAGATGAAATCTTAACAATCTTTGCTTGTAAAATATGGAGATTTGACAGACTTGAGTTCCCAGTGTCAGTATGGTGTTTTGCCCTTCAGGTCTCCGGGCCAGTCAAGTGACTAAAAACTTTGAGTTGCAATCTTGAACACATTTGGTCAAGTTGGCATGAGTCTTAAGCAACCCTGCCAAACATTGTGCATTTTAAGTTCATCCACAAGTTTGTTGGCAGGACTGCATTACTTCTATTTGCTGAGTCAGTAGTATTGTTATAGCCGTGCTGTCTAAGATGCTCTTCTGAAGTGAAAAGGACACATAATTTCAAAGAGCACAGTGAAGATTTGTCTGATAACATTTTTGGATTTGGAGGGGGTCTTTTTCCTTGACACACAGACTGATAGATTGTATTGTTGCAATTGTTAGCTTTCACAAGGAGGTTGAAGCTGAGGCTCGACAGCGCCTGTATATTTAGGTTTAGGTGTCTCTTGTTAAATGGCAGGGCTGCAGACTGTGGCAGTGGACTGAGACAGGCTGGGAGTGCAGCCAGAACTCACAGGCCACCGACGACACCAAGAATAGCTCTACGCGTGTGTGTGCTTGTGTGTGAGAGAAAGAGGAACAGAGATAGTGTGTGTGTCGCTGTGTCTGAGTGTGTATGAGTGACCATGACTTCTATAAGTCTTGCTAATGATGAAAGTGTTTCAAGGTAGCAGTGAGATGTCCCTAACACACGCTGTAAAGTTATTCCTGCATGTAAAGTGAATGGGCTGCTGTCATTGAGGACACATCTTTACTTTGTTCATACACTTACACTTTGACCATGGCATTCACACAAAATGCAAACATTTTCTAACTTTTTCTCGTGGCATTGTTGGAGACACTCAATTTTTTCGAAGTTCCTATATTGAATATTCAAACCACTCTACGCTGTCTCATACAATCATATAGATGAATAATTGAGACTGACGAATGAGAGTGATTCACCATCACAGTATATCCTATGCTTTATTACATCTGATGCTGTGGCATAAGAGTGAACACTACACCAGGAATGGTAATAAATGATTATGCATGCAGCTAATTAATCTGATGAATATTTATAACCACTTAAACACATTGTAATGGACTGATTAAGCAGTCCAACGCTGCAAGTTTGAATTAGTGCAGTTTTTGAATAATGACAGAGTAACTTTCCATCTCACTGCTAATGTTCTTCTCTTTAAACGGGGAGCCTTTTTCTCACATTTTCCCCAGCCAGCTTTTTCCCTCCCTCGCTAATTCAAAGCAGCGCAGCTACATTAGAATGGAACATGGCAATTATCACCTTTTATCTTGGGTGGGCGCGCTTGCTCGCTCTTACCTTCCCTCTGTTGCTGGGGAATGATGGTTGGTTGCTGGGGGAACGCTTGGCTGATTGGCGCATAGGCGGCAGGGTAGGCTGCTGTTGCAAAGGGAGAACCACAGTGGAATTTTTCACATCTCCATTTTCATATTTGACACAACAAAACTCAAATCATTATTCCATTGTTCATTTGCGTCCTCTAGACATTGCATAAATAAGCCTGGGCTCATTTGGATGGTGGATCACTAGAGTTTGGAAAAAGTGAGTGTGGAGTGCAGCTCAACTAAGCAGACACAAAAGAAAGAAAGGGACCTTGTTAATGAGAGCCGATGTCAGGCGGAGAGCTGTCGTTATGAGAGGTCTATGTCATATCTCATGTAGGAGGCAATGGCAGGTTCTGTGTGTACTTTTAGAATTACCTTTTTTCTTTGTGGGTGAATAATAAAGTCAACTCTAAATCCTTTCGCAATCCTAATGTAAAGTAGTTTAATCCGGGAGAAAATTGGCTGGTCGTCCAGCTATCTCTACCTGTCATAGTGTCCACTGATGTGGCAAACAGAAAAAAGGGAGAGGGGAGAGGACTAGGGTTTCAAAGATGGAAACTTTCCATGGGAATAAACAGGAATTTATGGGAATAAACGGGAATTTATGGGAATAAACGGGAATTTTCTAAATTGAAGGTTGGCTCTTCATAGGGAACTTAAATATAGTTGGGGAAAGTATATTTTAGCATAATCTTGACTAAAACAAACAGATGCCAGTCAAGTACACTTGAATATCCATGCCATAGCACACTGCTTACTGCATGGCTATTGAGACCACACCCCCTCCATTCATTTTGTTCATTTTTGAATGAGTGGGTTGGGGTGGATGAGTAATATTTAACTCAACATTCCTGTTTTCGTTCTTCAATGAAACAAATAATTGTTAAATAAAATAATTAAAACTTGTTCTGTTCTACTAAAAAAATTTTTTTTTTTTAAACTAATCTGTTGAAATGTCATGTTTTTTGCTTAATTTTGCATTGAATATTTCCAAAATTCCCCAGCTTAACTTCCCATCCGGAAATTTACCGGAAACTTTCCTCCCCTTTGCAACCCTAGAGAGGACAGATGGAGAGAGTGAGAGAGTAGAGGAGGTAGGAGAGGCAGATCACCTGCGTAGTGTTGGACGCCAGCATAAGCCTGTTGGAGAGGGTCGTTCACCGTTGGACTCTGTGCTGCAAGAGAGACGAAACAAGAGACAGAGAAAGGGGGTTGACAAAGAGGAAAATGAAAGCAGGGGAGACAACGAGGGGATGGAAAATGGTCAAGACAGACGCAGGGACACAACAAAACAAGGATCTATTGTTAAAGAGCAAGACAGAAATTGGTTTAGCTGTAGAGAACCATCAGGGGGTGAGATCACACGGGGAGCGAGGAGAAATTTGGGTTGTCATAGCTCCGTTCTTCAAAATGCCTGTTTGCCCCAGATGTTTGCATCAAATATTAACAACATGCCAAACAAACCACTTTGTAGTTCATTACAATTGCAGCTGCCTCTGCATAATGTAGAAACGGGGATTACGTTCCTGTCAATTCTTCAGGAATCAGTCCCAGACAACATTAAGAAGCCGAGGACGGGCTGAGACACATCAAATCAACCATAATGGACTGATGGATGAACTGATGGATTCATCATGATGCTAGGGCTGGCTGCTCAGAAATCTGCCAGAGACACTGTTGATTGACCCTCGAGCTTTAAACGCTTCAGTTCAAATCAGAAAAATATGTAATGAGAGTGTGAAGTAAAAAAGGACTCGTCAACTTTTTAACAGTTCCCTGAGATATTAATCAATGTGTCACCACCGGCATGTTGAACTTGCATAGTGGAGAATACAGTGATGACATGGACGTTTCTTTGCAAGGGTCCCCTCAACTATAAGAGATGGGATTTTTCGATTGGATTTGGGAGGATTGCCCATTTATGATGCCTCCATGTTTAGTTCAGCAGGATAATCTCCACAAATTAACACCATTTTTATGATTTTTGAAGCGTTAATAGAATGGCGAGAAGTAAAAAGCTACTGTTAGGCTATAAACCGACTTCATCACGGAAATCACAACCGCTAAGCTAAAGGCGGCTAATAGTCAGAGTGATGACGTTTACCACTCTAATTTGGTCACTTGTTAGCAACCGTGTGTTTTTATGATAAAGCTTCACACATTTAAGAGTGGGGTCTTTACTGATGCTTCTTATGTGGTAGAATAAAAACTTGTGTTAACCCCAGACATTATTATTAGGGCTGTCAGTCGATTCAAATAGTTAATCGCGGTTAATCGCAAATTAATCGCACATTTTCTATCTGTTCTAAATGTACCTTAGAGGAATATTTTTCAAGTTTTTAATACTCTTATCAACATATGAGTGGACAAATATGCTTTATGCAAATATTTGTTTATTATCATTTGAACAATGACAAATATTCTCCCGAATATTCTCAACACAACAACCTCTGAACAATGACAAATATTCTCCTGAATATTTTCGATACAACAACCTGGAACCTCTCTCTCTCTCTCTCTCTCTCTCTCTCTCTCACTCTCTCCAAACCCTGTCTACTTCTTTGCACTGAGCCAGTTGCTCAAACAGACAAGCCTGTTTACAGTTGTCTGCGAAATCCCGCTCCTCTGTCTTCATAACAGTCAAAGCATGAGACTGAAGTTCCCACCATTTAACCGGATGTGGTAAAACGCTGTGTAATTCCTGGGTTTAAGGAATCTTTCCTGTATCCCTTTTTTAGGTGATCTTCTTGTTAATATCAAGTTCAACACCAGAATAACTCACAAACCACCTAACCACCTAATTGTACGGTAAGTGTCAGGGTCAGAGGACTTAAGATGTTACAAATCTCATGTTTCTTTTATCGTAGACCTTGATTGGCTCACCTGGGTAAGGGTGAATACCGTTGGTGTAGACGTGCTCAGTGGCCTGCCCGTTGCTTTGAGGGAGGGTACTGAATCCGTTAACCCCGATCGTGGTGGCTAGGCTGGGCACGGATGTGGCAGAGATGCCTGGGGGTGTGCTGGTGCCTGCAAATAGACACAGAGTCATTACGTGAAACTGCAGGGTGCACGCTTCACATGCTAGAGACTCGTAAATAGAGGTGCGAGAGAATTTTCTACTCAAATGTAAATTTTCACACTAATGTAATATTTAATTGCACCCACATTATGGGCCCTCATAAGCAACAACATACTCCTTTCAAACCACCATAATGGTACTGTTTGGTAAAATTGGTACCAATTAAGCCTGAACAATTACTAAAATCAGTCAAGGTAGCACACTGGAAAAATGTGAGGGTGTGGGGAAAAAAGCTAACCCTGACTCATCATCACATCCCTGTTTAAAGGTTTATTTTTCTCACTTGAGCAACAAAACTATTCTTTAGCAGTTATATAAGTAGAGGTACGAATAAGACTCACAATAGCAGGCAGCATAATGTCTCATAGTCCCAGTCTGTCACCTTGTCAGTGCCCTTTTATGTTGATAGCAGGTTTTTATTATTTTTCTAATCCAACTGAAGGGCATTTAAGTCATGTAGGATTATGTTTGATAGGCATAACTTGGTGTATGTAGGCTTTGTGGATTACAAATGCCAGGTACAGCATCAAACCACTTTATTTAATACATTTGCAATGACCCTGCCTTCAGGCAGTCTGCCTACTTAGTGTCGAGCCATCAAAGCTCCTCATGACAAGGGCCAAAAAGATAGTTCATACTGGGGTCCAGGATTATCTCACACAAATCTTTGCTCTTATATTGTATAAACCAAGGACTCTGCATCCAAAGTCATTGGATTGGCTATATTCCCAGAAAACACACACTGTCACAGACACAGGGAGGGAGAGAGCGAAAGACAGACAAAGAGCGAGACAGAATATAATGTGGCTGTGCATTTTCTCCCATCATGCCCCATTCAATATACAGTAAGGGCTTTTCTTCTTTTAATCCAACACTGGCAATTCAGCCCGGAAAATAGAGCCACATTTTAAAAGATGTAACAAGGGCAAAAGCAGAAAGGCCTTGAACGAATACATTACTACTGCTTCTATAATTCTTGCTAATGATAAAAATGTTCCAGGTCAGCAGTGAAAAATGGCACGAGATGTCTGTGTTATTGCATGTGTTCTTGCAACCGAGTCAGTTGGCCGCACACTAAGGAATGTGTGTGTGTGTGTGTGTGTGTGTGTGTGTGTGTGTGTGTGTGTGTGTGTGTGTGTGTGTGTGTGTGTGTGTGTGTGTGTGTGTGTGTGTGTGTGTGTGTGCCTATTAGCAAATACCTGAGGACGATGTCATGGGAGTAGCCACCAGGCCGTTGACATTGAAAGCTGCCATTTGCTGCATTTGAGCCGCAGCGATGGCAGCCATGGGGTTCATGTAGGACCCTTGTGTTGCTGCCATCAGGGCTGCTTGCTGTTGCATCATCTGCTGTAGGATTAAAGAGCGGTGGGGAGAGAGGTGGAATGGAGGGATTGAGAGAAGGATAGAAAAGGAAAGGAGGGTGAAATAGCCGCAGGACCAGAGCATGTTTACTCTCACATCTTTGTTTGCTTGGCCCATGCCTTGTTCTTGTACAGAGTGGTCTGTGTTGCCCTGCAGCGTTGCTTCCCAGCTAGTGTAACATCGCTCTGGCCTTGTGTTCATTATACTGACACAAGATAAAGGCTATGTGGTGAGATGAATTTAGCAAACTGGAGACTATGTATTATCTGTGTGTTCTGTATATGTTTAACCCCGCCCCAGTGGCAGAGTTAGTGCAGAGATTGTACGTGAGTGGGCGATCCACACCTGTCAGGAAGTGATGATGGCTACAGTGAGATCTCACAGACTCCAAGCTGTGGCTTTCATGTGTGAATATGAAATGGGGCTGGGGCGGAGAGGCAGGAATAAGGGGTAAGGGGTGAGTGGCTTTGGGTTCCCTCGTAATGAAGTGCACCTCAGTTTGAGTGTTAAGGCACATGTGAATGAAATGTTAAAGAGGCAAGCTTGTATTGGCGATTTAAATTCACAGAACAAGTCAGGAAATATGGGAATGGGTAATGCATTTGAAACGGATGCTCTCCACTGTATGAAAGTGAAACAGCGTAGTGCTGAGCATACATGATAAGCAGCTTCCCTGGACAAATGAAGGGATACAAAGACACAATACAGGAAGCAGTACAGCATTTTCTATAATTCTCTGAAAATGTGCAGCCATTTAATGGTGTTAATAATGAAGGAGTTGGGTCACAGGCCTAGTGGGAGAAACAGGGAATTCAAATCACAACATTTTTCATTTTCTTTTTTTAAAGCTCACCGTCTCCTCCCCCGCCGGGCTGAGACTTACAGCATGAGAGTAGGCGCCATAGGCCCCAAACTGGATGGTCATGGGACTGAAGATGCCGAGCTGGCCCGCCATCTGGTGCATCCTGCGCAGGGTCCGCTCTTTATCAGTGTCTGCAAATTTGACCACCAGACTGGACGAGGCACCCTAGAGGGGCACAGATAAAAAGGTCAGTGAAATATGCAACTTAACTTCCCTCTGAGTTTGTAAATTGGAACGATTTGAGTCCTTATATAAAATGTTAGGCAGTTCATCAACACACTTTTCAATGGCTCATTGGAGATTAGCTAGCAAATATACATAAAACGTTCTTGATATAGATATAACAGGTGGATTGGGTTATACAAGTTTCAAACAAGTAGGAAAACTGACAACACAAACTTTTGCAACTGACTTGGTTACTTTCAATCAGCAGTGTTTTTGCAGATTGCACCTGTCACTTCAGCTGGCCAACCGACTAATGAGCTTGTTTTTTGTTAGCAAACTGTCTGTGAACATCCTTAGACTGGATAAATGATTGCCATTATTATTGTTATTATAATTATTCACTGGAAAAACGGAAAGATGACAACAGGGCAAAAACACATATTCTGTTGCTACAGTAGTTTGGGGAAATTATGTTGATTTACCTCAAACTAAAAGAGAAAATACTGATATCAATTCTAATGTCACTGAATGACATTGTTCAATATGCCTGACAGTAATTACTATATTATGCTGCTTTATCTGGAATTGTGCAGACATGTAAACACATTGAAGACATATTAGTCAGACCATAACCCAAATATGGGTAATTTATAAACAAGGTTGCCGAATGCAGTACATTTGCATCTTTTATTGTGTGGTTTTAAAATAGCTTCCTCACAATGTGTGTGTTTCCCTTGGGGAATGACCTGCAACAAAATGCTGGCTCCATATTAAAAAGATGTAGAGCTTATTCGTATCCGTGCATCAACCTTATTTTATTAAAGGACTTCAGTGTTGCCTTTCTTCATCGCCTCAAAGAAGAAACAGTGGTGGGCATGTCATTCATTTCTGTCATCTGATGTCCATTGTACAAAGCAGTCAAGCCTTTATGACCTCATATCTCTGAGCCAAGGAAGTCAGTGGAAGTGAATGTGCACTTCTCATGACGGCAGTCATTTAGCTGTCAGCGCTAAATGGAAGAGAATAGTGAGTGATATTTGCTTTGTGAACTTTCTAACTCCACTGTATACTCAGGGAGTGAACTGTGATCCTAAGCAGATCCCACAGGAGTCCCAGTCCCAGTGGTGCAGCTCCACTGAATACAGTACGGGGTAATTAGGTCTGACAAAGGCCTTCGGCATGTGGAGGGTGAAGTATTGACTAATGGCTCTGCCTTATGGCAGATATACTTCCGTATTGATGTCCGTGCTCCTGAGTTTGCATCCAATTAAATCATTTGAAAGACAGAGACCAGAGTCAGTTCCTCATATGATATCCAGGCAAAGAGAGAGAGAGAGAGAGAGAGAGAGAGAGAGAGAGAGAGAGAGAGAGAGAGAGAGAGAGAGAGAGAGAGAGAGAGAGAGAGAGAGAGAGGATGAGGATGAGGATGAAGAGGCTGCCAGGCAGAGAAAGCAGCCACAGAGACTGTCAAGAGGACCAGGCTCCTATTTAATTACAGGCAATGCATGCTGGGAAAGAGCACTGAGCACCACCAGGACAGAAGGACACAGGCAGCCAGGGGGCAGTCAGGATATGATTAGTAAGATCATAAAAGCAAAGACACAGGGAGAAAAGGACTCCATAATCACAACTTGGATTCATCTTTCACAAAATGTCTCATCCTGACAGGGTCAGAACAAATTCAGGCTTTGATTTAGATTTCCATATTTACTGTGGGTGTAGGAGTTGGAAATATGAGTGCAGGGCCCAGGTGAGAAGACGAGGCTAAGAAGTGTGATGCTGCACACGCCTGTTTTTTGCTGTCTCATAACAAATTTAAATTGACAAAGCTAGGAGGCTACAGGTCAACTGCTACTTGTAGGAGCCACACTTATGCTGAGCCCTGTGAAGCTGAATATGGAAGCTGCACAGTGAGAGTGTATGCAGCCACTGAACACACACAGTCTGACTGTTTCACAGCCTAACTTCATGCCATTTCACAGTCATTTCTACACTAAGTGTGTCCTGTTTTCAAAGCGCTTCATGACATTTTAAACAATTCCTGCTAATAAATAGTGTCGTTGAGAGGGCAGTGCCAATCCTGTCACATACTTTAGAGTTGTGTTAGTCATGACTGCTGCAGCTCAGCTTTTTATTCATGTATTTTTTTTTTTTTAATGTATATTTTTTATCTTTGCTTTTTAATGACTGTTTTTAAATGCCTTTTTCTGAATGTCTTTCATTTTTGTAAAGCACCTTGAATTGCCTTGTGTTGAAAGGTGCTATATAAATAAACTTGCCTTGCCTTGCAGCAGAACTTACATAATATTATATACAGTATTCATCCTGCCAACATTATGTCCTACTCTACTTTAACATCAGTCTGATCCTTCTCTCAGCTACTGTTTTTGTTTTATCTATTTCTTCACTATAAACAAAGACAAAACAAATCCTTTTCTAAATGCAAAACGCAAACAAGTTCTTGTTCAGAGGCTTTGCAAGTAAACTATTCGATTAACCCGTGTGGAAAGTGACTTTAAAACATTCTATTAACACAACCAAGAGAATGTGTTGGGCATAGATAACTGTGGGGAAGAGGCTGGGAAATGAAGGGAGGCATCAGCATGGACCCCAGGGACAGTGCGTCTCAGATGGGATTCTATCAGAGGCAGCCAGCACCCCACCTCAGGCCAGAGGAGACCCATCTGGTGTTTCTCCCTCGATGCCATTTCAATTAGCTAAATCAATACCCCGACGTGGCGGCGTGAACGGCACAATTTCTCCCTTTCTTATTTTATTTCATCCCACCTCCCGACCTCTTTCTCTCGTTCTTTCTCAACTTTGCGTGGCCAGTGGAAGGGACTGGGCTGTTGGATTTAATGAGGCTCGCACTGAGCAAACATCCTCCTCTAGCGTTGTTGCTTAAGCCTGCTCGCAGCATGTGGGCCTGGCATTTAGATCACATTCATTTTCTACCTTGTGTGTGTGTATTCTTACATTCATTTAATTCCTCATGAAGAATGCATTGGAGCATCGGGACTGTGAAAGCCCGAGGCTGCCTGTACCCACTGCACCGTGACTCAAAATGAAGCGAGGCTGGCCTGGTGTGCCTCCTCCCAGCAGAGCGCTCTGCTGCAGACGACGGGAGGAGACCCAGTCTGCAGTCTGTACACTGAACAGACCTGGCAGCAGCATTAAAGCACCACAACAGCCTCTGCAGGTGTTGCGTGCAGTGCCACTCATGTCAGAGCCTTGCATTTTTTGAGTTTCTTAGCATAAAAGCCAAAATACCCCCCACTAAAAAAAGAAAATGCACTCATCCTCAACCCTGAACAGGATAATTGAATATCTGACTATATCCAGGGTCTAATCAGAAAAAAGCAGATTATAGTTTGAACTCCCTCACGGATCAGACGTTTCTATCCACGAAAAGAAAGAGTAATATGTGTCCAGATAATGAAGGAACAGGTGGAGGGAGACAACAGGCGCTGGATGCAAAGCAGCCACTCCTCGCTGGTAGCATAAAATCACAAGCTGACAAACAAACAGAATAATAACCTCCAACCGGCGTGACTCCCTACCTGGAGAGAAAATGAATTTGCTGAATTTGATGAGGGCCAACAGGGAGCCTTCACTTTTGACAGGTACAACTAAGGAATTTGTCACAGGTTCGAAAACTAATCTAATTTCTTGAACAACACACTTGACTTGTGAAAATCTCTCATATTGGATTCTGTATAGGCCTGTGCAATGTGTAGATGGAGAAATACACGACGGTAATTGAGGGCTTAGAACTTGACGGCACCGGTGAAATGGCATTCTGCCTTTATCTCTGCATTACTGTGATACAAAGGCGCCGGTGTTAAGTGTGTACTAACAGGTAAACAGACACTCATTTTCCAATTTCTACAGGGGCTTACAGAGAAATAATACCACGCCACACTCATTGGAGAGAAAACTGTCTTTTCTCACAGCATACTAATGATTAGCAAAGAATGTTATAAGAACAGGCTTTCTTTCACATTCGGCAAACATGTAACAGCTACTGAATGACAACTCCCAAAGTTGTGTTTCTACACTTATAGACTCTAAAAGTGCTAATTGAAAATCTGTAAGAAATTAATTGAAAACACCATAGCAAGTTTGTTTGGTAATTGGATGAACCCCCCGCAGACTTCCTATTCAACTCTCTGAACCTTGCTACATCTCTGCTAGCCTCATGGGAGGACTGTCTCTCATTAGCACTGGGTGATACTGTCTAAGTCTGGACTCGCTGTCCACCACATACAGCTGCTGCCGCCGAGCACACTGCATCACGCCAAAAGACATCACTCTTGGTTTCTGTGCTGCAACAGTTTCCACCACAAAATGTAAGGAGTGGGAAAAAAACAAACTCCGTGTTTGTCAGCTACAAGCCTGCTGAGATTTTACAGTAGTGTTATTTGGCATTTGATGAATTGTGTGTTACAATGACAATGCTCTCTGGCTAAGTCTTATCTCTCATTAATCCAGAACTATAGTATCACACATGCACGCTCTTGCTGCTGCCAACACCAGCGAGCTCCACAGGCCCTGTCAGCCACGCTGTGACACCGAACATGACAATGTCTGCAATTTGCTGGGTGCTGTCTGCCTGCCCCCGGCTCTGCCATTTGAAGTTTTGCCACCTGTGCCTCTGCAGACATACTGTAATTCAACACACGAACCAATGGAGAGCGCCTGTTCGGTGCCCAATCAGCTCTTAAGTTAATTTTGGAAGCACCTGCAATCTGCACTAAACATCAATTAAAGCGGTGACCTGATCTATCAGCGTGTGCCCTTTGGTGGCACCCCTTGCCCTTAAGCTTCATTAAAGCCTTTCAATTTGGGCCAGCGTATTTTGGTGCAGGTATTATTTATGGCATGTGTGCGTGTGCCAGGTAACACAGATGCCGGAGTGAGAACATTAAGAGGGAGAGAGAGACGGAGAGGGAGCGAGAGACAACTCTTTGTTCAAGGTTCATCCAGACCTCACAGCTGGCAGCAGGCAGAGAGAGGAGCAGCCCACTCTCTGAATCCTGCCTCCTGTTAGTCTGTTGTTGACGACATGTGGCAGTGATATTATCCAAATTAACTGCATCCCCCATCGGTACCAAAGCCTTAGTTGGATACTAATGGCCACCTTGCCTATTAATCTGAGAGGAAGTTGGATTTGTGACGAGGAGGATAACAGGTGCAGGGATAGAGGGAGAGAGATATGGATAATATAGATTATGAATGAACTTCTAGATCGCTCTTGATACGCTTCAGGTCTGTTAGGGGGTCCATATGTTGCTTTGGACAGATCATCTGCAGCAGACCTCAGGTGGCTCCACCTAATGAAACTGTGCCTAGGCTGCGGCAACACAAACATACGCGTAATGTGCGAAAGCAGTCCACATGAGCCAAATGTTGATCTGTACAAGAAAGCACTCCAGAGAAATCCAATTATGTAAATCCCCTCGATGTAAACATATTCCGTTGATTGAGTCAACAAGATATTTTGAGTACAAGGTAAATATCTCGATTATAATCAAATTTCGGTAAGAGGCCTGCCATAAGTACGCGCGATTCGTCTGGAACATGATTATTCTTTGGCTCGTGGCCCGCTACGATTTTGACCCTTGTGGATTTCTGAATAAAGTTTTCTATGCTCAACAACGCAGTTAGACTGACTTTACCACTTATTTTACACCCTCACTACTTCAATGTAATGCAAAATGAGGCGGCATCAAATGTGTAAATTACATCTGGCTTCCAGGACACTATCTGGCTGCCAGGATGCGTCCGTAAATATTTATTGCGAAACATCAGTGAAGTGTGTGAAGGTGTGGATGTCTGCCAGAAAGAGTGTTTGCTTGTGTGTGTGTCCAGCTGTGCAGCACTCAGCACACATGCAGCTCTGGCAGGAAGACACTTCGCAACTCGTGATTTATTTTACTTAAGCCTTTTTGGTAGCCTTCTTCAAGCCTGACAGAAGTATATCCAATTCCTAATTAATTTCAGCTTGACAAGAGTAACATGTTTTGTGGCCTCATTTTTCAACTAAGCAACTCATAACTCTAAACCAAACACGAAAACCTACTCTCCACATTTCCTTAAAAACCTTTGTCCATCCTACTGGAAAGCCCATTTGGATCAATATCTATTCTGTAGTGCCCATGAATTGCCTCAGTAATTATTGCACCACTCTCTTGCATTGCATTTGAGGTCTTGTTTTCACAATAAAGTACATGTAAACATGCTGTGTGATTCTGTGTAATGGCTAGGTGATCTCACCAGAGCCATGAAAACAAACCACTGAACTATGCAGGCTACGAAGCAACACTTCCATTATTTACAGCCTAACATTATTGCACAACATATCAAAATGAATACCCCTCTCTTGGGTAGCTTACAAGCTAAAAGTTAATGGGAGCCTGAGAAACTGCAAATGTCAAACAACATTATGAAAGACTTCATACAGGACGCAGTTAAGGAAGCAAAATGAGCTCAGAATGACCTCATTTTGAAGATCCATCCCAACTCGAGGGTGCTTTCCAAGTTATTGACTTACTTGTTAACCTCACTTTCTAGTCACTGCCTTTCTTGATGTGTTCAAGCGTTTTAAGCATTTGATATTCTTTAACAAAGTGTAACCCCCTGACAGGGGCCAACCTGTCACTGTTCATGATTTTGCTGTAATGAGGTGTTTTTTTTGGTAATTTCTACCATGATGCTGAAGCAGGCCGCCACGTGGAAAGCATTTTAGACACTCTTCACATTACAGTACATTCAGCAGCCTGTATGTTATCTCTGATCTAAAGCCTCTTGCTATGGGTTTGATTTGTTTTTTAAAGATGCATATTTTTTCACTGGCTGTACTCCCTTCTAAAATAAATGTGATCCACTATCCACCCTTCATCTCGGTCTTGTTAAAATTGTGGGTTTTCAATCCAAGTCTAATTTTGTTTTACATGTAATGTATTCACAAAGTAATAGATCGGGAACGAGCATAAATAAAACAAAAAATGTAATACTGTTATGCTGATGACTTGCATTTATATCTAGGTGAACAGAATTCAAGCAATGCCTTTGTAGCCATTTTCTTAGATTGCCTTCACCGCCCAAAGTGTCACAGGTTAAATAAACCAATTCATAAATTAGACTTTTTGGCTTTCTACCTCAAAGATATTGCTTCCCCATGAAGTTGACACATTGTCTCCCAATGCAAAACCTTTCAAGCTAAATTCAAGCTATTAACTTTTCACAGAGGTACATTTCTAAATGCAGAGACATTTTTGTTGTTTGTGTTGAGAATCAGAAAATAGTTATCTATGCTTTAGTTGGTTCTTCTTGAGATCAAACAATGTTGTCTTGCTTTGTTACAATGATTTACTGTTATCTTCCAGAGTGGATTTTCCCTAAACAGTTTTTCTTGTATCACAGTCCCTTATTAACACTTTTTGGATAAAGAGGTCTTCTGTTTGACTAATTTTAGCTTATAGACAGTCTGCTTAACATATATTAGGGTTAGATTTATTATTTTTTTAAGTCAGTTTTTAAAGAATATTGTAAGGAATACCATACTGTAATACAGTTATTTGCTTTAATCGATGGTTTAACTTACTTTGACTATACTTTTATTCATTTTCCTCATCTGACTGAATTAAGCCAGAATAGTCAATAGATGGCCAGAAAAGTTTGTCCAACGGGAAGCTCTATCTATTTGGACATGTTAGCAGGGCAACGTTAGCTAACACATAAGCTAAAGCAACCTGATAAGCCAAGGTGCTTGGAGTTTTTTTCAAAAGATTATTAGGAATGCTCTGGCATGACATATTAAAAATGGCTAATTGTAAAAAATAAGCAAATTATAGTCAAATTTTTCGAATTCAAACGCTGTTTCTATTTCAAACAATTTTTTATAAAAGGAATTATGTGCTATTAAATCATGATATAAAAAGACATGTTGCAGCACCAAAACCAACATCTCCAGTATCAATTAATTCTAGCTTGCACCATATAGTTATTTCATTTCTGTGTCCATTAAGCCATGACTTCAGTTTTAACTTGACAAATAAAAAATCATCATTATCATATTCATAACATATATGTGTAACAATGTCTCCTGAGAACATCCCCATGGATTAATGTGCAGTTCATAGAAATCGTATCTCTATAAGGCTGCGATTGTAAACACTCTCTGTCTGCCTGCTGAAAAGGTGTCTGAATAGCAGAAGAGGGAAATGGATATTGAGTGAAAAGACAGATACAGAGTATGCAGCTGTGCGCTGTAAGGTGGCAGCTGCTGACTGTGGAAATCTTTTGTGTGTGATAACACACAGCAAGAACGTATGTGAGACTGTGAATGAATTGCTTTGAAAAATAAGCGTCACTGTGGTATGCCTATACAGCATACAGTATATAAATATATCTATATACGTGTGTGTGTGTGTGTGTGTGTGTGTGTGTGTGTGTGTGTGTGTGTGTGTGTGTGTGTGTGTGTGTGTGCGTTTTATATATATAGAGGCTCAAATAAATACATAAAAAATACATTTAATATTTCTTTTTGAAAAGGCCTTATCCTCCAGGGGCCAAATAAATGTTGGCTACACATTTTTGTGTAGGCTTGGCCTGTGTGTATTTTTTGGCAGGGCAAAAAACTGATAAAAAGTCTATCAAACTCTTTTTGTAAACTTTTCCGGAGGCTGTGGCGCAGTGGACTAGTGCGTTGATGTTCGGGTCAGGGGAGCACAGGTTCAAACCCCACTGCACGTGACTGCAGTCAGCATGTCATTGTGTCCCTGGGCAAGACACTTCACCCCAAATTGCTCCTGCGGCTTGCCCACAGTTTGAGTATGTAAGCCGCTTTGGATAAAAGTGTCTAACATGTAATGTAATGATGGGGGTGAGCTTATCTGCCCTCATTCTAGTAATGTAATGTTTTCCAAGTCTACCTCAAACATTTTATAAAAGTGGGACCATGGGGAACATGGATAGCAATATAGAAATCCAAGAGTTGACAAATAACTCGCAAAACTTCCTTTATGGCTCTCCATATCAAGTCACTTTGCTTGCATCTAAAATAAACCAAATGATGTTATTAGAACATGTCTTATATGAATGCAAGTAGTTACTTACAGGCATAGTCTGTCCACCATGCAAGCTGTTGATGGCGGCCTGCGCTTCTGCGTGGCTGGAGAACTTGACAAAGGCGCATCCTGTACACAGAAAACGAGAGAAATAGAAGGGAGGGGCACAACATCAGGGAGATAGCCTTGAATATATGGGGGAAAAAACACAATTCATTACCGTTGTTTTCTTGTTATCTGGTTTGTAAATATATTCCGCCATTTGTGTGTTGAGCGCATAACTCTGAATAAATCAGTCTAATTGTAGTCAAGGCATTAGCTGCGTAGAACATCCTGTCCCTCGCCCATTTTCTAAATCCAGCCCCTCCACTTCGGAGCATGGAGCCAAGGCGTTTACTATCCGGACTTGTTTGTGATTATTAATCTGTTTAATATTTACACATTGTGATTTGTGTGCAGTCACTCATAAAAGAGATTATGATGACAAAGGCATAGTATTATAATCTAACCGAATCTTTGCTCGCATAACATTTCAGATGGAGGGTGGGGAAGGAGGGGGGGGGGGGGGGGCTTTGCTCAAGGGGCATTCAAATCATCTCAAATCTGTTGTGTAGTTATGCACAAAAGGAAAGTCAACATAAAAAGTTGGCCGGAAGACAAGGAATGGGTGTTCTGGCGCCTCATCGCATTAACATTTCAAATTATTCAAGTAGACGATAAAAATGCACCATGTTTTTTTTGAAAGGTTACATATTCTAACCACATGATTGCATAGTGTATCAGTGTGTAGGCAAGGACAGGCACTGAACTACGACAACATAAGGAGAAGTGAAATACAGTGGAACTGAAATGTGGTAATTTTGTAAAAGCCATTAAATTAACCAGGAGCTATTTCTCTGAGCTTTATGGTGGTCATAGACTGAATAAGATATTCTGTTATGTCCTATTCTTATCCTTGCCTTCAGGTAGCTCATGTGTTAAGTCAAGAGATATCTAATTAATAAAGTCTGCCCTCTTTTCATCAATGGAGTCGCACCTGTTTCTGATAACTAGACAGGCTTTTTACTGAGTTAAATCCCTGGTTACTTGAGGACTGCTGTGACCTATTTAAAAAACGGTTACATGTGTTCATATACATTCATGCGTTTGACATTCCCAAAGGAGTCGTTATATTTGGTTTAAACACTGGAATGTAGGCCCTGAGGATGGTCTGTGTCTGGTCATTCACTTCAAGAGTCAGCTTTGTTTCTCAGACAAAGAAACAAATAATTTCCCCAACAAAATCAAAAAGATTGAACTGCAAGACATGCAGTGTGTGCACGATGGAGAACAATATCCCCCTTTACCTGAGGCTCTGTTCACATTCCAGCCATATAATAAATGAGACATGTGGTAAATAGTAAAGGCCATGTGTTTCCTGTACTGTCAAATGTCCTCAAAGCTGTATAGATCTACAGAGGCAAACAGATAAGTCAAAGAAGCCTTTGATTCTGTCACAGCGCTCTAGCACCCTTTTACTTCGCTTGAACGCCCCTCTGGGTACAGGCTGGAAAGGTCTTCATTTGTCCAACTGAAATGCGTCAGCCCACTGCGTGCCATTTGACTGTGAGTCTGTCTTTGAAGGAACAAACACATTTAACCTTTGTAGTTGAAATAATAAGAGGCAGTTTGTTTCTGCACAAGCCTTTTTGTTTTTCAAGGCAAGATAACTTGTTATTGGTTCCCTAACAAGGCTATCAGATAGTGTGCCAAAATCCCAGTGACCCCAGCAGCAAAAGCCCAACCAGAAAGACTAAACTGCAGGGCTTGGCAAACACCATCAATGGCAAAGTAATGTCAAACATACAATGTCACACTAGAAATTCAAGGCTGGATCCTCCCTTTTCCTGACCTAGAAAAAAAAAAAGTGAAGGGACACAGAGCAAAACATCTCCAAAGAATTGCTCTACAGCCTCATAAATTATAGTGCACATTTGAGTTTTTGAATTTGATAGCTCAGAATGAGTTGGGGGGAAAAGGAAAAAGAGAGATTGTAATGCTTTCAACCGAGAGGATCTGCGCTGCCTTTTGAATTCCCGGGGTAATAATATGTATGCATGAATTCCATCCCGCTGGATGGGTGACATTTATAACACAACTTAATTATAGACCTAAAAGCCATCTCTCTATTTTCCTGACAATTCAGGGCTCTATTCAACTCTGGAAGCAAGTGTTGCACTTTGAAAGTACTTTGAGGAGCAGCGCCATAGAGAGATGGATGTTAAACTTCTCGGCCTTTTTATTGGGTGAAGAGGGGTGCTGAAAAGCTTCTGAGTAGCATACATTTACATCAACAGGGGACAAAGCCTCCATCATGGAACAGATAGCACTGTCAATTTCAAGGTCTGTCTCATTCAAATTACAGGAACCTCATCCCAGGCGAGGCGGCTGGCAAAATAATTTGCCGTAACATCCCGTAATGATTGCGTAGGACTGTTGCTCAGTGAGTGATAGGACCAGATACCTATGAGACCTTTGTCTGGTGGTAGCATTCATACTTAACACTGCTCTACATTTTCCCATTTCCTAGCAGTGAAAACTTGAAGAATAGGTGAATGATCAAGCCACTTATAATTCAGAGACAAATACTAACACAGGAAACGTATGGCATGTGAAGAGCGGAGATAGAGATGAGGTGCGGGGTGCAGGAGGGTGAAAAGGAATGCAAGCGCGAATAAGGGAGAAAACTAGTTCCTGTTTGACACAGCAGCAGCAGCGGCCTTATTTCATTCCATGTGCTTGTCAATCAGCTTGAGGCATCTGAGCAGACAGGAAGAGAGGGAGCCGGAGAGACAGCAAAAGAGGAAACAAGCCACGGAGAAAGAGAGGTAGTGGGCCGATGGGGCGACGCAGAGCAGTAGACCCGGGATTAACAGTGAGAGGAACAGATGTAGACACAGATATGCGTGTGGTTCAGTATAGCCAGTCTTTCTCTTTGATAAACTCAGACGGCTAGCGAATTATCAACCCTTCTCCCTTGCCTTCCCACATATCTGTTTCACACATCCAGTTGCCTCATATAGGAGAATAAATCACAGTCAACAGAGAGAGAAAAGGGAGGTAGAAGTTCTGAGCAATATCACCGGCGTTATCACTTCAAATGTGGCTGTGAGTCAGAGATCCATCATAGGCTGATTGGGGACCCTCTCGTTCTCTCGGAACAATCCCACCTGCATCGCACATCCATCTTTAATTTGACCACGCTCTAATAACTAAATAGCACATAAGCGACGGACATGAATGTGTAAGCTGTTCCTGAATGCGGTCCAATCTGCCGCACGGTGAGTGACAGCAGCGAAACGCGGAGCACGGCTGCTTTATTTACAGTAGGACATTATCGTCCAATGGGGTCTCTGGGGAGGGATAACGGGAATGTGGGAAACAAACATGATTACACCCCTTCACTTTACAGATAACAGGAAGAAGAAGGAGGAGGAGGTGGTGGGGGGAAGAGAGGGGTTCTGAAAGACGAGGTGTTGTTTGATTATTTATTTTTTTACTAGAAGCCCAGGGTGAGAAGAGCGGCCGTGATGAAGGGACAACACAAGAAAAGGTTTGGGAGGGGAAAGAAGAAAAAGGCGAGATAAAGTAAAAGTAGAGTGAGAAATAAAAGCGAAGGGAAATACATAGAGGAGTGAGAAAAGGAAAGTGGGAGGGGAGGAGGTGTCGGAGCACGGTGACAATGAGCTATGAAAGAAATGCAGACGAGACACATAAGAGGTGGTGGAAAAACTCAATAGCTAACGGGGAGGACGGGCTATTCAGAAGAGCAGAGTGAAATGCAGACAATGCCGATGAGATGAAGAAGTATGGGTTCTAAGAAAGAGTAGAAAGAGAGGCAGCATATGTACGGACAGACAGAGAGACAGACAGACAGACAGACAGACAGACAGACAGACAGACAGACAGACAGACAGACAGACAGACAGACAGACAGACAGACAGACAGACAGACAGACAGACAGACAGACAGACAGACAGACAGACGGAGAGATTTAGAGGGACAGACAGAGAGACAGACGGAGAGATTCAGAGGGACAGACAGGGAAAAAAGAGTGGGAGGTGTGTGGGCTCTGACCCTTACTGGCCCCATCAGGCCCTCGCAGGACGGTGCACTCCTCGATCTGGCCGAAGGTCTCGAACAGCCGCCGGACGTCCTCCTCGCTCTGCTGCTTGCCGAGCATTCCCACAAACAGCTTCCTGTCTTCTGGATGGGAAGAGAGGGAGGGGGAGGAAGAGGGGGGAGGAAGGAGGGAGGGAGGGAGGGTGGAAGAGAGGAGAGAACAGACACATGCTACAGCTGATGGAACCGTTCTGCTGAGCTGAGAGGAACTTGAACTCAAACCACCACCACCACCTTTTATCAGCAGTCTGCTGTGTAGAGAATACGCTGCTGTTGTTGTTGTTGTTGTTTTTGTTGTTGATCGTACTGTTGTGTGGTGTGCCACCCCACCCTGGTATGAGAGAGATGTATTCCTGTTTTCAGGGAGCTATTCAAGTCTGCCGCGGTGACGTTTGATACAGAAGATGTTTTGAGCGCATGTAAAAGGGGAAAAAAACAGCGGAGATGTTTTTGCGCAGGAAGTGAAATTGTTAGATCGACCGGATGCTTTAGTCACTTAGTTTAAAGAGAACATGGAACAAGAACAATGTATAACATGTTCTCATCACTAAAGGAGTAGGAATCATAACAAGCAAGGGTAACTGAGCAGTACAATCTATGCAATGAGAAACTCGGGAAAAGTTGAAAACAGCCAGCGTGTTCTGGTTCTTCATAAACTCTGTCATCCATTTCCACTTTACACACTAAAAAATGCTGGGTTAAAAACAACCCCATTTGGGTCGTTTTTTAACCCAACGCCAGGATCAATATTGGACCAACCCAGCAGTAGTTAATTTGACCCAACGAAATGGGTTGTGTATTTTAACCCAGCAGATGGGTTATACATTTAATCCAAATGCTGGGTCAAATTAATTACAGCCCTGGGTAAATTCTACCATGAATTGGGTTAAATATTACGCCCAAATGCTGGTTCATGACAGCTTGTAGAGTAGGTTGTATAGAGACAAACTTAAGGAAATCACATTTCCTTAGTAAAAGGGCTTATTTAAAACTGAAATCGAGAAACAAATACTTAAGAAAAAGTGTGTAAATGACTAAGTAGTACAATTAACAAACACGATTTTGCGCATAGCCAAGTGTTGGTCGCCAGGAAGTAACAGATGAAGCTTTTCTGTGTAAAGTTGATAATTATCAGCCAAATGTTTGCAAATCCATCAAACTTCAACAAAGCCAGACTAAAACTGAGCTGGATTCACATTTCAGAAGAACACATATATTCCTGTTATCTTGTGCACCCACTGCCGAATTCTATACAACTGTTCACAAGTTAAATAGAAAATAAGATGCTTTCTTTGAGACAAATATCCACAATAACTGTGACCGTGACCTATGGTTTTCACAACCAAGTGATAGTGATGGTTGTTTGCAGAAAGCATTACAGCAGAACATAATACTCGTGAAAGTTACAAGGCCTAGTTATCATGGCTTGAATGAATGGCAAATATTTACAGTAGGTCGTTCAAATTGTGAGATATGAACTCCTTCACTTAATATTCCCGTTACTTTGCTTTCAGCCTCCAAATTACCCAGAAGCACTTGGGGTTAGGGGAGCTAAGAGAGTGATGCATGGAGAGTGATCTGTGTTTATTTAACTGGCCTCCTTCCCACTATTGTGACTAGGTTACTTCATTGTGTATAGAAAAAGTTTGTGAGATGCTTATTGCTCATCTCGTTCTTAATGGCCATTCATGTGAACTTTTCAAACCATTGAGCGCAATGCTACACATGAATGAATGGAATATCAGGGCTACGTCCTGAGTGTGAGACAGATATATTGTGTCTAATTCATCTCTCGTAAAGTTCAAGTGTAAGTAGTCATGGAAAAGTTTTAAAGTGAGAATGTACCGTAATTTTCGGACTATAAGCCGCGCCTTTTTTCCCATTTTTCGACGCTGCGGCTTATATAACGGTGCGGCTAATCTATGGATTTTTACAGCTAACGGCCACCACCTTTAACTCTATGGAGTTACATTAGCCATGACACTGCGTACAGCATCGAAGGTGTAAGAACAGCCCTAGAGTATCCACAACAAAAAATGGAGAGAACAGTGTACATAAAGATGACAAAAGAGAATGTAAGTGAAACAGCTGCCTCAAACAAATGGAAACCTATAGCCACATCAAAATAAATGCCCCACCCTCTCCCGCCCTCTCCCTCCCATCCTGGGCTGGAGGCCGGAAAAGAGTGAGACAGGTAGCGCGCAAAAGTAAAAGTGGAACCGAGAGTGGTACGAGAGACAGAACGAGAGCAAGACAGACAGACATTACGAGAGCGAGACAGTTTGTCCCCGTACCACTGGTTGAAAACCGCTGCTGTAGATCACTGCCGGTACGTGCGCTGGGAGCGCACCGTTTAAGTTTGAAAGTTGAAAAGTTTGTGTTTCTGAAACGCTATGTGATACAGTACAGTTTACACAGCACAGCACATGTTCTGTAGCTACTATTGCACTAAATGGTAACACTTGAATACGTTATGCAAATATGCAACTTGTTTGTTGAAATGTTAATAAATGGGAGCTTCCTCAAACAGCCATCTCTTTCCCGACAATCCCCTCTGTGCACGAACCCTTACATATGGTAATTAAACATTAAAACACCTGCGGCTTATAGTCCAGTGCGGCTTATATATGTACACATCATTCAATTTAGCTGCTGCGGCTTATATTCAGGTGCGCCTTATAGTCCGAAAATTACGGTATTTGACTATTTTCAGTTCATGTGAACCTAGTTGGATGTTCAATCTGAGCTGAGTACAATTTCTTGACCGATAGTCAATTGAAGACAAGTTCGCAGAGTTTCTCCTCATTACATTTAAAGGGCAGCTCCCCCCCCCCCCCACACCAATATCTTCAACACACTTCCTGAGCTCCAGAAGGGGGCGCTCTGGTTCAGACCTATACTCCTTATACTACTACATGTTGGGCCTGCCAGAAAGCTGGATATTCCTTATTAATCTTTCCAGTGCCCTGACATTAGACAGTGCATTCATCTTCTTCACGTCTTTTCCATTATGCATCTCCTATTCCGCCGTGTTGTGGAATGAAATGGCTGCTAGCAAGAACCCATCGCCAGAACTGATGGAAAGTGGCAGGAAGAGGAAGACGAGTTTATTGGAAATGACACTGTTGATCTTCAGTGCGAGTCATTTGACTGGTAGGGAGCGGGCGAGGAGCGGAGGGCGAGAGCGTCACCTGGGCCTCGACAGATGTGACGCCTCCTGTACCTGCCAGGCCCCATTAGACGCAGCTGTTCTAAAAATAAAGCACCAGGGCTTCCTTTTTTGCAGCGGGGAAATCGGATCCTGTTCCTATTCCTGTAAAGTTCAAATGAGACACGAGCCTGCTTCCCCGCTTGGCCACACAAATGAGCACCTGCATAATCAATAAGGCCTCGCCGCCTTGTCTCTACTGCTGGTGTTTGTAGCGATGGTGTCAGTCTATGTTTCTGTAGTCATGCCTCACACAGCAGGAAGTCTCAAACCCACCAGCTGAGCCTGCTACTCCTGCTCATTACTGTCCCCCCACCCTTGGAGCTCCAGGGCAGGAACCCCGAGGAGATCGCCACAGAGACACCCACTTATGCTGTCCACCTAGATTTAGCAAAGACCGTCAGAAGGACAGACATCTTGCAGGATATCGGCCATCAACCTGCGTAGCTGTAAAGTCAGCTCTGAACAGGTGTTGGAGAGAAATGAGCCTGACCCCTTGGCCATGGCAGCAAAGGTGAAACATGAAACGAGACAACTGCCCATCCAGGGCTCACATGACTTTCCCCTGATCGCCCCTCCATCTTTCTGATTTGCAAAGAGGTGTCACTGGTACATCTTAAACGGGCAGAGTGCAGTTTTACAGGCCTCCTGCAGTGTGTTAATGTTTTGGGACAAAAGTCTCATCTCGGTCCTGGCCCAAGGAGATCTAATGGCGGCTTTACAAGGCTAATTAACAAGCCATGAGCGAAGGAATGAACTTTCTAAATGTGCTGGCAAACGCAAAAATAAATTACACCCCAGTGAAGGCATTAAAGGAAGTGTGAGTGTACTTGGGAGCCTTCCTTTGGGAGAGCCACAGCGAGAAAATGAATTTGGAGCTGCTATCTTTTCATTGCCTGACCTAAGAGTGTCTCAGTCGACCGACTGCCTGCCCCGGACAGAGTCTAGATTGCTATTAATTAGTCCACTTTGCACCTGTCTCCAAAGCAGCTCTTATTGGATTTTACATGATCTCGCTCATCTCCTATGGCCACTTGCAAGCCACTTTAAATTGGCATTTTACGAATATGAATAAATATCTTGTAATACACCCAGCGCACCACGACTCAATGACTCCAAAGAGAAGTAGGTCGAAGAGAAAAAAAAGGACTTTTGCAAACACATGGATGTACTTTTTTTCAAGTGCAGTCGTGTATTTGCATTAAGAGGGGTGAGGACCTTTCTGGAATTGTCAAGGATACAAAAGTATGACAGATCTCATTGAGTTCACAGTTTGACCTCTGGGTACTTATCTCTCAATGAGAGGGGCTCATCTTATCCTCTAACAGAGCAGGGGCTCACAGCTGGAGAACATTTGAGCTCTACAGCACTTCTCTGCTCTCCTCTGTAGAGACCTTTGTAATGTGCGCTTTTAAACCTTGTAACTACTTAAAAATATAATGTGTGTGTGTCTGTTAGTTATGATAATAAGCAGATAAGGAAACAGTGGCTTGAAATGTGTTTGTGTCTATATGCAGAAATATGTTATATGAAACGTGCATTAGGGCTGCAAAATGTACCGAAATGTTATAACAATTGCAAAAAGGAGTACTGCAACATCCAGATTGTAATTATTATATTATTTTGATACATTTTTCCATGATTGGGTTACGGAATAGGATCATTTTTTTTATTCAGAATTCTGGCTTTAATCTCAGAATTCTGACTTTTTTCTCAGAACAAAAGAAATATTATTTTTTTGGGAGAAAATAAATTCTGACTTTAAAGTCAGAATTCTGACTTTTTTCTCCCAAAAATGTTTATGTTTTTTGTTCTAAGGAAAAAGTCAGAATTCTGAGATTAAAGTCAGAATTCTGACTTTTTTCTCAGAACAAAA